GTGTAAACTGTATATGGTGTTAAATAGACCTATACTACTGTACTTTAAAGTCGGTCATAATGGTGGTACTTTAAGGGCCATATATTTTATAAGGTGGTACTCACTGTGAAAAAGTTTGAGAACCCATGTAGTAGGTCATTAGCGAGACTCTATAGTTTTTTTAAAACGTACATTTTTATTTAAATTTACTCGAGTAGGGTTTGGGGTTGCCACCTCAGCATGCAGTCAAGGCATCAGAATAATATACGAAAATAATGAAAAAGCCTAACAATAGGTGCAGTTGTAAAGAGGATGGCACAGTCTGTAAAATGAGTAATATATGTATTGATTGTGTTTTTCATTGTGTAGCTAATTTTCTGCATTTGAAAATGCATTTGTGAACTAGCATGAAGTGTGGAAAGAGGGGAATGTTAATGCAATACTGAGAAACCCTCAGATTAAAGTGAAAACTAATCTTTATTTAGGATGATTACAGTCCATAGGGGGAAATGAACAGCAAAAATCAAGCTTTTTCAGAAAACTTGGAGCACTTGAAGGCAGGTTAACAAATGACCTGACAAAGAACAAAGGAAATAGGTTATAAAATCCACACATAAGAATTAAGGGAAATGGACATAGCTGGGGAACAAAGCACAACTTAAAAAGAAAGCAAAACTAAATGCAAGAGACAGGAGAAAAATGACTAGCAAAATCAAAACAAAACAAAACAGGGAATGAGAAACAATAGTTTGAAAGAGGGAGACAAGAACTTTACAGAATGAAGAACACTGAATGAGCACATTGAGCAAACACTGAGAGAAAATCTTCAAAGTTCTACAATCAGGACTATGCTAACTTTGTACTTCTACGTAGTTCTACAAAGGTCCCTGCAAAGTCACAGAAAATGTTAGTGGTAACAGTAAACAAAACCTTTAAAGCACTGTAATTCTTCATACTTGCAAACTGCTACACAGCATACAGATTGGCAATGTGCCTCATTTTTGTGTAAGTCCTGATGGTGTCTGTGAAGGTTCTCAGTCATCCAGGTCATCGTAGTCTAAGGAGCTTGGAAAGAAAAGCGTCTGAACTTCTGTAAGTTGCTTGGAGAGGTTTCACCTCTCTTCTCTTCCAAAAGGTAAAAATTCCAAACTGTCAGTTTGTAAGCATCCCATAATCCACAGTGACCTCTCCATATAAAGTCTATTTCCTTTCTGTATCGTTGCTGACTTGAAAGTGAACTGCTATTAAGCTTGGATGGAAAGTGCCCGTCCTTCACGCCTAGTTTCTTTTTAAAACTAAAATGTGAAATCTTCTGGAGTTAAACCCTTCACTTCTTAGTGACATTTTTGTATTAAAAAAACTAAGCAATTCCAAATACATTATGATAATTTTAGTGTAACAAAATTTATTTAATGCTATTAAATCATATAGTATTTTTAATTATACAATCCCGTGATTTCATAGGCATTTAACATGTATTGTCCAAACTCATTAATATATCTTGAGAATAATATAAAATATGTATTTCTGTTTTTATAGGTTTATGGTATATTTACCAGTTTTGGTCAATAATTCTAAAAAAGTACATAACCAATAAAAAATGCACCATTTTTTAAATTATACCCTGTGTGGGTTTACAAATACTAAATGGAAGTTATTTACTCATAAAAGGAACATTTATAGATGTTGTCACCATTTTCTTGGGATGAATGTGTGAGGTCAAATATTTCATGAATCATACTTTATATGCATTTTTATGATTTTGGCTGCAGTATAGTGAGCAATACCAAAGCCTGGAATAAGTATGCATTTCACATACCACCGTGACCACTGTCACATGAAACCAGGCTGTTATACAGAAATAGGAGAGGCAGGTTACCACCCCAGATGTGTCCTCGCCTGACCGGAGGAAAG